CCTTCATTCAGTGTGCTATCTTCTTCATGCTTCTTTTCTTACATATTCCACTGAAGCAAACGAAACATGATCCTTTTATTATAAATTTACAATGATTGTATATAGCAAAATTTCCTAGAATCTATGGGTCTCACTAAACCTTAAGTAAATCAATCAACTCAATATTTACCATTCTGAAATTTGAGATGTTTCTTATGAAGTAGAATGTCAACTGAACCTTACATTTACACACAAAAAATTATTCCCTATTTTTCAAAAATAAACCAGTATTACTTTGGCTTTGTAAAGCAAAATTATCTACACAGTGCACTCTCTTGTAGAGGAACTAGCCTCCAAATGATATACATCTTGAAACCTAAAACAAAAATAATGATCACAAGTGAGGCTTGCACAATTAATATGACAATATAAGCTAGGTCGTTGAACTGCATTGCATTACAGTCAATTCTATTCTATTGGGTTTCAATCAGTTTCAATTTTCAGTTCTCAACTCAAAACTGAATTTAAGAATGCAAATCATGTAAGAGAAAGTGATAGCAACCAATGCATTCAGTTCTTATGAATTGTAACTTAACAGGAAAACATTAAACCCTCCACTCCAACCAAAAAAAAAAAAAAAAAAAAAGGAGGAAAGAAAAAGGTATACCATTTGTCATCTGAAAAGAAAAACAACTTAGAAAGTAAACAATTGCACGCCTTAGAGAAATCAAAGTGGAAGTTAAAAGGGGAGAACGTTATGTCCTTCTTTCACAATGTTGGCAGTCTCTCTCCAAACAAGACAGGAACTATATTGCAGCAGGTCCCTTTAGCACACCTTTGCTCAACTGTATCAAGGCATACTTCATCCTACAATATGTCACCTACATCAACAAATTAATTTGGATTTCTTTATTCTTATAAGCTTAAATCAATAAAAGTGTAAAACATAGTAATAAAATTGATTACAAATCAATATCAAGGAAGTGTCTCACTGAGAATTCTATACTAGTTCCATTACATTCAGGCTTGTGAAGAAGTGTGTACAACAATTAAAGCCACCATGAGAAGCAGAGAAGCTGTTGAAGAATTTTAATAGCAAACCTAGTTTGACACATTTTCTAGAGGGAAGGGACTATTTAAATCTTCTTTTGGGATGTTATCAAAAGCAACAGTGATTAAGGAATCGTGTTCAATATGCACATGAAATCAGCAACAGAAGAGTTCAAGGGAATCACACATAACTAGAAAAAACAAAATGAACTGAGTAGCCCAAATATCTTTCAAAACTCACAATTACCTTTAGCCAGTAAACTACACCTCGTCCAAGAGCTCCTGAATCAGCCATGTTTGGTTTTAATACAACTACATCATGGGTGCCAAACTGCACTGCAAAAAGATTAAAAAAATTACAAATAGGAAGAATTAAACAAAATGAAAACTGTGTTCTCTAACAACAAACAACTAAAGGGGGAAATTTATCATCTCCAACCTCCACCATACCAGAATTTATACCAGAGGTTGTCATGATCAGGCAGACAAAACACCATCCAGCCTAAGCATTCTTAAGTTACTTTTTGTGCCATATATGATATTGTGTTTTTAGTTTTTCCCCCTTTCTTTTTCTTTTGATTTTCAATAACAACTATACAAGTTATTTGATTAATCAACTGCATTTCACCCCAAACTCCTCTACACAGAATTACTAATCTGACATTTACAAGGAACCCAAACTTCCATTGGAATTGCATCCTAACACCAAATCCAACAAACAAAATGCCAATACAATTGAGTTCAAAAAAATCCCCGGACCTAAAAGACCTAACTAAATAGACCATTTTAATAGCAACTGGGACTCCAAGATTCAGCCAGAAGATAAATAAATCATTTTGATATTTTTGTAATTCAGATCCATGGCACGTTTAACAGCAAAACCTTGAAGAAGTTGTGCAATTATCAATTGGACTGATTCAAAACATTAATGACTGAAAACCTAAACCAAAAGATTGGCAGCGGGCACTCTTACCAGTTACAGAAAATGATACAACTCACAATGCACTACAAATTGAGAATTGCGAAGCCCGTCTTTTGAGAATCCAAATTCCTTGATGCCCATGAAGAGATAGAGGCGAATATCTCAACTTCCTGATTCAACAAAAAGAAGTCAGTTAATTAATCCATATTTCGTCCATGCTCCTTTCTATCTCATTTTGCAATTCATGAATTAACAATTTCTAGTCTAGAAATAAAACTAGACCAAAGAGAAGATGAACCTTTTCCACAGCGGTTAGGGGAGCCATGGTGTAGATGACTGTCGCAGAGTGAGAATAGGTGATTTCTTCTTCATCTTTTTCGTTGATTAAAAACAATTAGGACCACAGCGGAGTGAATTTACGGATGGGGAGAAGAACATCCTTTGCATTGGGATGGTCCCACTCCAACGATTCCCACCACGATTCCCCCCATTCTTGTGGCCCTACTTCGATTTGTTTGAGGGAAGGAGGAGGAGATGGTTGTCCGTTGTCAGGCACGGGAAGATAAAGAGGGATCCTCCTTAGACTCTCGCAGTTGTCGATCCAAATCTCTTCAAGAGAATCACATACCATTACTGCCCTCCTGCTGCAGATGCTCTTCAATTTCGGCAAGTTTGCCAGAGACAAACTCTTTAATTTTGGAAGAATGAGTTGGATGACCCCTTCGTTTTCTCCTCCTGCTTCTTCTGCATCCCATACTATTATTTCTTCCATTTGATCGCAATATTCAATGCGAATTTCTTCTAGACTTTGAAGATTCATCCAAAAGGGCAACAACGTCTTTATTTTATGACAGTGCCGAACACTTATTGTTTTAAGAGATGAAAAAGTGTCAGGTGGTAGTGGTGACTTGGTAATTGCCTCTGCTTCAAAAAGGGCTTCCAAGTTTTCCAAACTAAAAAGTTCCAGAGCCTCAAGCTTTTGGGCCAGTAGATTTATGGACGAGGAAAGAACACACTTCACGCCTTTGCAGTTCCAAATCCTGCAGCACTTCAATTCTTCTGCATCTTTAGTGGAAGAGATATCATTTAAGCTTCTTAAGTAGTTGCATCGATTAAGAACTAATTCTCGTACGGATGGTAGCAGCCAAGTATCATCTACATGAATATCGGTGAACTCTAACCTTTTAATGCGCCCTTCTATTAATTTGAAAGGAAACGAATGATATCTTCCACAGAATTGTAGAAGGGCACGCTCTGCATTAGGATGGTCCCACTCTAAAGATTCCCAGCATTCATGTGGCCATACTATGATTTGTTTGAGGGAAGGAGGAGAAGATGGTTGTCCATTTTCAAGTTGGGGAAGATAAAGAGGGAACCTTCTTAGGCTATAGCAATTCCAAATTACAATCCATTCAAGAGAATCACATACCATTGCTACCCTCTCCCTACAGATGCTCTTCAACTGGGGCAAATCTCCCAATTCTAACCTCTTTAGTTTTGGAAGGAGGAGTTGGATCATCCCTTCTGAATCCGATGCAACCGAAGATGAGAGTAGGTATTCGAGATTTTCACAGTCATGAATAATTAATTTCTCCAGTTTCTCCAAACAAGATATCATCGAAATGTGCCATATCATGTTAATATGCCCAATCGAGCACAATTGCAACTCCTCTAGGTTTGATGAAAACACAACCTGCACAGGATATAATTCTCTTTATTACAAAAATTTATCATTTTGTCTATAAATAAGAAAAAGGATTATCATGTTCATCTTGGGCTTCACCATGCAAGTCAAAATGTGTCCTTAGGGGACTTTTGGTGGTAATTAAGAGATTGAGGCATCACACTAGAGGTTTAGACTTGAATCGGAGAGGGTTATTCCCCGATTTATAGTTTATTATTTCATCTTAATCATGTTGTTTGTTTTAAAGTTTTTAATAAAGTTTTTTCTTTGATTAATTAAATATATTTAATTTTTTGTGAAATTGTATAGTAGTTTCATTAGTTGAGATTCTGTCTTGATTGGGAAAATAAATGTTAATGAAAATGCTATTTTTTTTTAATTTTCATTTGCAAAATAAAGGAATCTATACACATGTGGTTTTGTTATATAGTAATTTAGAAATAAAAATGAAAATAAAAATATGACTAAATTATTATATATATTAACAATTGCTAAAATTAACTGGTTTCTAAGTTTTTTTAAGTGGGTGTTGGTAAATTGGGGAAAATAGCCTACACATCATGACAATAAGAGCAAAAGGATTAGAACAATTGTAGCTCCTAAAATTAAAGGTAAAATGCAATTGAATTGAGGAAATAATTACCTTTTTCATGAAGAGTGACGTTATGCCGAATGTGAAATTTGAACCTCCCAAAAATGTAATGAGGTTCCCAAAATTCATGCAGTTCAATATTCGTAGTTGTTTTAAAGATGAGAATTCCACAATAAAATTTCCTGCAGAGAAGCTGACAAGGTTTTGAAGGTCTTCTATCACTAGAAAAGTCAATTGAGGAAAAATAAAAATTTCTTTTTCCTCATCATTATTAGCCACAATAATCGCTCTCATCATTGGGCATTTCTTTACTTGCAGATGTCTAAGATTCAACAATCCTGTTGCCATAGAAGATGAGAATAGGTATTCCAAATTGTCACAACCATGAATGATCAACTTTGTCAGTTTCT